CCTAAACATGATACTAGGAATCATAAAGACATCATAACATGATACTAGGAAACTAAATATTCAAAGCATGATTTCTATATAATAATAATAATCAAATTACTTACTTGGATGCCTCGTATCTCTTTCTAATAAAAAAATACACGTGTTAGTAACTTCAAGGAAAATAATAAATCAAACAATTAAATTAAATAATCAAAATAGGGATTTGGGACCAAACCCTCATAAAGTATCAATCTTTCACGTCTAGGGTGAAGGCAACTTCGAACTTAGGTAGGTGTGTCTAGAACTAATGTATGTGGAATTTTGTGAGATGGGAGGTTTAGAAAAAGAATAGAGGGAGAATATGCTTCTATCTTTAAAGAAAAAGAAGAGATTGTTGATTGTGAATGAATGAAAACGGGGAGATACGACCCCTATTTATTGAAAAAATAGTCCGGAAACAAATCATGTCCTATTTGAGAATAAAATACCTCCTATCGCCAACAACATGAGTTAGTGCCAGACGACTGGCTTAGAGCCAGGCAACAGCTGTCAGCGCCAGGCGGTAGCTGTTAGTGCCAGGCAATAGCCTTGTCGTCTCACGCTAAATTAGAATTAAAACGCGCTTTCCATGCGAAATCCTCTTCTTAATACGATTAAGCAACTAATTTCGCGTTGATTAGATTAAAATCATGTTTGTGACAAATAACATATTTTATTCAAGATAAAAATCTTAAAAATATAATTATCAATCCTAATCTCATTAGAATTTAAAAGAACCTTCTAGATTATTCTAGAAGATTATTTAATTTGATTGTTTTATTTGTTATTTTCCTTGAATTTATTGACGCGTGTATTTTGTTATTAGAAAGAGATACGAGGCATGTAAGTAAGTAATTTAGTTGTTATTATTTTTATATAGAAATCATGCTTTGATTATTTTGATTCCTAGTATCATGTTAGGATGTCTTTATGATTTCTAGTATCATGTTTAGGGTAATAGCTAAGATTTCTAATATCATGTATGCTTCTATGGGATGCTTCCTATTCTTTCTAATATCATGTTAGTATTATATTAGGGATAAAGGTTTAATCTTAATTGTTTAGTGACATGTTAAGATTTGTTATTAATCTTGTTAGTATCATGCCTAGGATTTTGCTAATATTATTATGTTTTATTGAGATTGAATATTACTATTATGATGATGATGATTACTATTATGTTGCTTGATATATATATTATTGTTATTGCTTGATTACGCATTTTATGCATGTTTTAAGGGAATTTGTACTTGTAATCACGCTTAAGATAATTAATAATCTTGTTTAGGTCACTACTACATTTTTGACCAAATGTAACTGCCTATTATAGGCTAATACAACGGTATTATAATTTCTATTGCAATAGAGTAGGCTAATGCCACGGATTTAACATTAATGTTATTAAAGGTAAAGCTAATGCCACGGCTCTTAGAAACCGTTGCAATAGCCTAACTGTTTCAACAAAAAAAAGGAGTTGATTCAACGGTATGTAATAAATGTATAATGAAAAATTTAGAAGGGCGCGTAAAATTTCAGGACTTCCCTCTATATTTTTTTGCCCATATATTTTGAATAATTTGAACCCTTACACGTGTTAGTGTGTTACTATCCTAAGGCTTAAAATAATGAAAAATTAAAAGAAAAATGGAAAGGTAGAACTGTACTAACATTTTCTCACAATTCTGAGCACCCATTTTCTCACATTCTCACGTTTTCCCCAATTCTCCATTTTTCCCTAATTCTCCATTTTTGATTATACACTCCAACAAAATTCTAAGAGGAAAATTACTAAATAAAATTACTCAAAATTCTAAAAGGATATTAAGCAAAGAAATCTAAGAAAGTAGATCGACTAAGGCGGCTCTCAGGCAGTGGTGGCTGATAGCGGCACTCAGGCGGTCCTATTTTCATCTTGCATGTCCCTTCCTTTAGCTGATTGGTCGAATTTCTCTTTAAGGTCAACAAATTTTCATTTTTGAGATTCTTAATTGAATTTTACGTTTTTGTTTTCGAGTGTAATAGGTTTTTTTTGGGGGAAATTTCATATAAATGGATAACTAAAACCGAGTATTCCTCCAGTTTTTTCTTTATTTGTCTACTTTTTCTTTATTCCAATGTGGGTATATCAAAACATGTAGCTGATGCTTTTGCCAAGGATCTAAAACACAACTAATCTCAACTGTTTGAAGAAGCAGGGAACATTCCTGGCTACTATGTTTTTTCAACTTTATCTACGACTATTATTACTTTCTTGTATGCTTTATGTTCTAAGTTAGGAGCTGCTAGCTTATGTCTTAATATCAACTCCTTTCCTTTCTTCTTTTGTACTATGAACTGCAGTACTCTGAATTTGGTTTTTGATGAAATTTTTTGGGTTTCTTTTAATTTAGCTGAATTCATGAAATTGATGAGAAATCTGGTTGAATTTCATTGTCTTCACTTGTCTGGAAGGTGGTTTGAATAGGGTATTTTGATTTCGGTGAGCTAAAATCTTCCTTTAAATAGAAAAATCACGAGTAATTTTGTTACTAGGAGAAGTTGGTGATTGTTTGGTTTGTTTATTTATTTATTTTATTTTATGGTTTGGTTTCTTAGTTTGCTCTAGACTGCCAATTGATAATTAAGATAAAGAACTAAAATAAAGTGCTATTGGGACATGACAAATTGGAACTTTATTTTATGGTTTGGTTTCTTTGTTTGGTTTCTTAGTTTTCTCTAGACTGCCAATTGATAATTTGATATATATTTACATTTAAATCCGATAGTGTAAAATATTTGTGACAATATTTTGCTCATAATTGCATAATGCTTACATTGAAATGGTTATGGATACAATTGCATTTGCAATTCTGCATACATACTACTTTTAAATTTGGCCGATGCAATGCACATGCCATCTGTTGAAATATTGAACTTTCAAATAAAAGTAAGAATATAAATATATAATCACTAAAATTGTGGTTGCAATGAAAATAGCCTACGCAAATATGATCTTGTTCATTATTTGTTGTAATAAACTTATGATTGCGCTTCATGACTTAAAAATGTTTTCATCATTCAATAACTTAGTTGAATTTTGAGAAATTACTTGCTTTCTACTATGATATGGGCTCTCCCCTAATATTATTCGTTTAAGGTTTTTTTAACTTTCCTTGCTAATTATACTTGCCTCTTTTTAATATCTCAATTCTTTTTCATTGTTAATAGATTAATGTAAAGTGGGTCACAAGTTTGTATGAATGCAAGTTTGATACTCTTTTCTTTCATTTTATTATTTGTTGTTGAGTATTTTAAACCCGTTTAATTTGACTAGATTTAAATGTTAAAGTAAGAATATTCTTTATGGGGTGTTGGGATGTTGATTGTTCACTTTAATCACTTGTGCTTTTTAAATTTAAATTAAGACCTTTAATTAGTGAAATAATATATTGATTACCCTGATACCTGCCATTGTATAGTGTCTTAAGTTAGCAATAAAACAAGCTTTAACTCATAATAATTGATAGGCAAACTTGTTAATAAGATTTAAAAATGAAAATGCATTATTATGGGATTATACAAAGTCTTAGTGCATCAACTGTTTCACCTTAGTTATTTAGTGTTGCAGCTAGCTCTACTTATTACCAATTACTTGATAAAGTTGCCTTTGACAATATAAAGACATTAGTTTAAAGATCTAATACTTAATTGCAACTGTAATATTTTTCTCAAAAGACCATAAATGGCGATCAAGGACTTGTTATATGATATTTAGCATATAACTGATTTTGTGATGCCCGTATAAACTAGGAAAGATCAGGATTGGTTTAGGCAAATGTTGTATAGATATGGTTTGTTTGTTTTTGGTTTCTGTGATGCTTCTGGCAACTTTTTTGTTAGAGTATATTGGTAGTTTGTTGATGATTTATGATATATTTTTATTTTCAAATAAAATATATATTTCTCATAGAAATGTATGTTTGAAAATGCTCTTATGTATCACAACTCATGAGTCATGACTATAATTTAAATTGTAGAGCAGAAGTTGATTTTTAGACTAGTCCTCTTTCTTCCTAGTGGTTGTAAAGCAGATTTAATGTCCATTCTTTCTAATTGATTAATGTGACTCTCTTAATTCTTAGTGAATTGATTAAATGTTTTTATTATAAAAATTAAGTAAAATAACCCTCTTAATACTTACCCTAAGGTATGGATAGTGGAACTAAAGAGTGGTGGATGTTTGTCAAATGGAGTGATGAATATGAACGGGGAGTAGATGAATATGTACAAAAGGCTTTTGCTTCTAAGTCTCAAGGAAATCAAATTTGTTGTCCTTGTGAAAGTTGTCATTATCGTTTTTGGCGTCATGAAGGTGTTATGAGAGATCACCTTATTTGTAATGGTTTTATTCCGCGAACGGATAAGCTATCAGAGTTAGGGTCATCTTTGAAAGGGAACAAACTGTTTTGGATAATGAAGAAGTGTCAACCCCAAATGATTTTAATGATGACATAGTAGAATTGTTGCATGATGCACGTGATGCTTTTAGAAAGGGGCCAAATGACGAGGCAATAAAGTTTTATAAGTTACTTGAGGAGGGCCAGGAAGAATTGTTCCCAGGTTGTAAAAATCATTCAAAACTTTCCTTCATGATCCGACTTTTTATTTTGAAGTGTGATTATAAGCTAACTAATGTTGCTTTTGGAGATATATTGGAGCTTATAAGGGAGGTGTTACCTGATGCAAAACTGCCAGCTTCTTTTAATGAATGAAAAAAGTGTTCTAAAAGTGTTGGGGTTGGATTACACTAAGATAGATGCATGCCCAAATGATTGCATGATATATTGGGAAGAGCATGAAAATGCAACAAGCTGCCATGTTTGTGAGACGCCAAGATGGAAATCAAATGACACAAAGAATGACATACAAAATGAAAATGGAAAAACCTATAGGATTCCTCAAAAGATTCTTAGGTACTTTCCAATCAAAAAAAAGGCTTCAACGACTATTTTTGTGTCAAGAGACGGCGAAATACATGACTTGGCATGCTGATGGGCGTGAAAATGATGGTCAAGCTTGGAAGGAATTTGATTCTTTATACCCAAAGTTTTCTGATGACCCACGCAATGTGAGACTTGGGTTAGCCACAGATGGATTTAGCCCATTCAATTCAATGAGCATTGTCCATAGTACATGGCCAGTTATGTTGATTAATTATAACTTGCCTCCTTGGATGATTATGAAGCCTGAGTTTTTGATGCTAGCCTTAATAATTCAGGCCCGTCTTCCCCTGGCAATGACATTGACATATATTTGCAGCCACTTATGAAGGACTTGAAGGATTTGTGGGAGTTTGGGCTGGAAACTTATGATGCTTCGACTAATCAAAGGTTTGACATGCATGTAGCATTGATGACTACCGTGAGTGATTTTCCGGGTTATGAAATGTTATCTGGGTGGAGCACAAAAGGATACTTGGCATGCCCTGAATGTCATTATGAAACAGATTTCGAGTGGTTGCCTTGTAGTGGTAAGACTGTGTATAGGGCAAATCGTAAATTTTTAGATCCATCTCACCCTTGGCGTCATGATAAGAGAAATTTTGACGGAAAACTTAAGGAAAGATGTCAACCTATTCCATTGAATGGAATTGATGTTGAGTATATGTTGCGTGATTTTCCAAATGCATTTGGAAAGAAGCAAAAACAACCAAGGCGTGATGTGGATGATCCGAATCCGTGGAGAAAGATACCCATATTTTTTGAGTTACCATATTGGAAGCATTGCTCTAATCGCCATAATCTCGATGTAATGCATATTGAGAAAATTTTCTTTGATAATATCATTAGGACATTATTAGACATTTCTCTGAAGACCAAGGATAATTTGAGTGCTCGTCGAGATTTGGTAGAACTTAATTTGATGCCGGAGCTTCAACTAATAGAATTGGAAGATGGTAGTGAAGAATTTCCAAGATCTCGCTTTTGGATGTCATTGGAGCAAAAGCGTAAGTTCTGCCAGGTTATAAAAAATTCTAAGCTTCCTCAAGGTTATGCTTCCAACCTTAGTCGTTGTGTGCAAGTTGGAGAAAGGAAAATAGCAGGCTACAAAAGTCAAGATGCTCTTTTTATGATGAATTATCTTCTTCCAATTGTTGTGAAGACAACATTACCCAAAGATGTTGCTAGTCCTTTGATAAGACTTTCTCCTTTTTTCAAAGGTATATGTAGTAACTCTAATGACCCTTACTCCGAAGTCATTCCAGAACCTAAGCGCAAAAGCCGTGTACGCCTACAAGGAAAAGGTGTGAAAAAGTCAAATTTGAAGAAAAAGGAAAACAAGTCAGATTTCATATTCCTGGCGGAATTCTTAGAAAATATGCAAGCTCAATTAGTACAACAACTTGCACCAAGTGTAACAAATGCAATTTTGACTCAACTTCGGGATGCTAACATCTTCTTGTTGACCAAAATGGGCAATCTTCTAAATCTGGAGCCACAATCAATCAGGTAACATATATTATTTTCTACTAATTATGTCTAGCTTTTGTTTGCTGCTGCGTTTTATTTGAAATGGAGTGGCTTTCAACCTCGATCAATCACAAAAAACACACACGCACAAGGATATGGCAGAAATCAAGCTTGATTTTATTAAATAAACGTTCCAGGCAGCAATACAAAAGAATAGCAGTTCACAAGATAACTTTAGGCTATCACTCTCTTAATGGAATTTTTCTTCTAGTTCATTTGATTTTCTGCTTTTTTTTTTCTTACTCCGAAATGTTGAGTTGACTCTCGGTGTTGATCCCTAAAACTTCCTTCAATTGGTGTCCTGTTTTCTCCTCCAATGGAGGTCTGACCCTATTCTTGATGAGTAAGTATTCGGAATATCCTTCACTGGAAAGTTGTTTTGCTTTGTTGTTTATGAGGATTTGTTTGTCTTCTATTTATAGAGAGCACTCGAAACGTGTTAGAGCTCTCTTTCACGTATCTTTAAAATTTATGCTTGTAATTAATAGTTGCTTTTGCTTTTGCTTTTTAACTCGTATGTCTTCAGAATTCTGTTTGGAAGTGAGCAGAACATTAAGTATAAAGACTTGAAAGGTCATGTGTGTCCTGTGCAGATTAGACTTTAGTCCTACTTTTGGGAAATTGATGTTCAAACTTGAGAGGTCATGTGTTTCCTATGGATAACAGAGAAATAGATTAAGTATCCATATATATAATGATGAAATTTCTTTTGTGAAGCTGAAACAAAAATATAGTTGGATAACTACTTATATTTCTTATAGCTAACACTGATGGTTAATGAGTCATTATAAACTTAGAAATGGGCATTGGTGGTTGTACGGTCTGCTCTTGATTCATCACACATCACTTTCATAATATGTCAAAAGCAATAGTTAGTTATGAAATACTACAATTGTTTTACTAATGAAGATAACATTGGCAAAGTATTTTTTTCAACAACTAAGGCAGCTCCTGCCTTTCCAGTTCATTCCCTCACCTATTTGCTGGCCAAGATAATGTTTGGTGTTTAATTCCTTGTGCAATTGACCAGGTTGATTCTTTTTAATTTTTATAATTTTGAATAATCGTTCATTATGCTTTTACTGGTATGCTTGTCCTGATTGGTTGCTTACATGTGATTTGCATTGGGCCTCAAATCTTGTAATTTTTGTCATGTTGAGCATTGACGAAAATTCCAGCCTGATGTTAGATTTAAGCTGAATTTATGATCAGGTCATGATGGGTTTTAACTTTTTTTTTTTTTTTTTTTTAAAGATGATGGGTTTGAACTTAGGGTTAGGACATTTTCCTGAGTCCTGAAGGATGTCAAGCCCAAGTCTTGATTTTCTTAGTGTTCGAACAGGGTCAAGGGCACTGTACTGTTAAGACCTTGGTGTAGAGGTGCGAGGTCACTGGTATACGTCTCTTAAATCGGACTTTGCTTTTCTAGGCTCTAAGATTGCTTTACTTTTATTAAGGTTTTCGTTCCAATTCCTCTATCATATGAAATACTACAATTGTTGTACTATGCTTTATGAGTTTCCTTGATTTAGTTCTATTATTTAGTTTAATTATTTTCTATTATTTAGTTCTATTATTTAATTCTATTTTCGGTGTAGGTGCATGGCAAGCAAAATGGAGATGAAGTAAAGTGACTAAACGACTAGTCATCTAACACAAATGGTGCAAATATGTTGGCGACTTCTATTCTATTAAGTTAAAGTTTGTGAAGATTTAGAAAATCCGGCTTACATATATGTTGGAATTTGTATTTTGGACAATTAAATCAATTATATAACTTTAGTTTATTAGTAGGGTGTAATACCGAAAACAAGCAAGTAATATTTTGTAATGTACGTATTTATTAGCATTATAATTATTATATATAAATTTAATGATTTTTTGTTTCTGTTGTTAGTGTATTTTGATTTGTAGAGACTAATAAGTGATTTACAACTAATATAACGAACACATATATTTTATATTACCGTTTCATTCTAAAAAAATAAATAAATAAATAAATAAATAAATAATAATAATAATAATAATAATAATAATAATAATATCGTTGCAGTAGATACATACTCTATACAACGCTTCATCCGTTGCATTAGGTGCCAATTTCATCATAATTATTAGTTAGTAATCTATTGCCACGAATAAATTATGTCGTAGCATCAGGTATTAAGCTAACGCAACGGATCATAGATACTATGGCATTAGGTGTCAAATACCATGGCATTAGACCTACTGCAACGCCAGCAGATGCCACGGTACATGGCCGTTGCAGTAGACCTAATGCCACAGATTTTGATGCCTAATGCAATGGAATTAGGGGTTGCAATAGATCAAAAATGTAGTAGTGGGTTAATATGATTATAATTCAAGTGATCAACAATAATAGATTTATTTGTGCATTAATATTCAATAAACATAGATTAAACAGGTTTAGGGTTAACCCTATGATTGCATGTTAGTTAAAAAGCGCACATAAATATGAGAAGAATAATGTATAGGACTATTTTTAGGGCAAGTTCAATCTCTTTAGGTTGGATTAGCACCTTCATCCCCGAATATCCTGTCATGGATCCAAACCACTATGAAGTTAGCAATCTCATGGATCGTGAAGGGGTTTAACCTTCCCCTTGTGAACGATTTACAAGTTCCTAAAACTTGTTGGCGACTCTTTTGCTCTAGCTTCCTTCACTTTGGACCCCATCATGCTTAAGTGTATAATCAGAGTGGGACTCGTCTATGGAGACTCGAAAAGTTATAAGTATTTCATGTGTGTAATTTTGATTAACATTAGTGGCATAAGCATAAAAAAGGTCTGCATTGGAAAGACCATTCGAGATGCGTCAGAAACATAGGATTTTTACACGTAGGAAATTAGGGAAATATCTTTCACAACTAAAATCGAAATAACGCTGCGAAAAACTAGAAAATTCAAGAACAAAAAGCTGTTAAGGCATGTAGGAACTAGCCCTGAGAAAACAGCGCCATCGCCAAGCGATGGCTCTGTCGCCTGACGACTGTAATTGTCGTCCGGAGACAGTGCCATAGTCTGGCGACGGGCACTGTAGTCTCGCACCAAGTTCTTCCAATACCGAGCTAGAAATCTACCTTCTTCATTCGACCAGCTCTAGTACTGTTTGTTCAGTTTTACTTCTTGATTGAGTTTTCCCTTTTTTTGGAACCCATACGTGTTCTACATATGGCCATAACCCTATGTGAATTCGCGCTCCATCTACCCGATCGAACGCTCCTACCAACGAAGGGTACATCCGAGTTTGTTTAATTCACCAAATGTTGAAGCGAGTTTAACTCGCGGGGTTCCATCTACTCGCGCCAACCCTTCCAAAGGTAAGGCTTCTGCGCGATGCATCCGAACTCATAACCATGGAGCCTCTTTGACTAAACCATATCCTTGAACTTTAGTGACCTAGAGCCATGGTTAGGTTGCAAACTCATTGCATCAAATTGTGACTATTTGACTTCTTGTGCATTATTTGCTTTTGCATAACCTATATGTGTTTACACTAACCGTTTGTTTGATTTGTGAATGAGTTTAAATGAACTAATTAATGACTAAAGGACTTTGCTTAATTAATTAATTAATATATATGATTAAAGTCTAAATAAATTGATCGAACCTAACTTAGTACGAACTTAAGGCTTGTCCCTTTAGAATAAAATACTATTAATAGTCCCAGACCAATGTTCCAGCAATGGCACAAAAGTTTGGGATGTAGCACTACGCGCTAGTGATTAGCGACAGGCAACAATGTTGTCGTCTGGCGCTAGTCTTTAGCGTGTGGCGACAGTCCTGTTGATCCGGCGATAATCTAGTTTTCTGCTCGAGTCTTCAAAGTACAACAAATCTAATTAATCAGTTTATGTTTAATCCTTAATAGGGTATAAACACGTAGTCCCATGGTCTCACACAAGAGTCAAAGCATGTTATCGCTACTCACTATTAAAGCACGCACTTAATATGTATGTCACACTTTGACCGTGTCTAGAGAGTTGTATGCACGTGTTTTCCGTCATTTTTTAGGGGGTAAGTTGGATATTAACCCTCCAATTAAACCATACTTGTTTGAACCTTTGAACCTTTACTTGATTCTAAAAAATATCACCTAATTTTTGCTTTTTTGTTTTTTTAGAAACCAATAAAGTTCAAGTCAATTTGAGTGAAGTCATTAAAACAAATAGAAAAGTTTAATTTACAGCGCTTGGTCAAGAAAGTAAGGGTGATTAATCAAGGACAACACCTTTGTTCTAGTACTACTTTTTAACAAATCAATCAGTCGGAAAAGAAAAGCTAAGAAGATAATGGCAACTCAAGAAGAAGTCAACGAACTTAGGAAACTCAAGAAAGCTTCAGCAAACTCTCCAATGACTATACATAGGTTCCAGGGCATTAGCTCACAAGGGGTCCTAGTGGACAAGGAGCTTCTTCCACAAAATTTCAATGCCAATGAAATCCCTAGGTTCTAGGCAACTAACAATCCTTATTTCCACTTAAAAACTTTTGAGACCATAATTAATATTAAGGGGATTGATAGGAAAGTCTTTCAGTCATTGTTTTCTTTATCTCTTGAAAGCGTTTGTCAACAATGGTTCTTTTCCCTTGACAAAGAGAAAACCTCTACTTAAGATTCTATTTTAAACGCTTTCATTGATAAATATAAATGTCATATTCAAGTTGAAACTGATCATAGGGAGCTTGATATACTTAAACAAAAAGAGAATGAAGGTTTTACTTCTTTCTTTAATAAGTGGAGGGAAACTTCCGCTAAGATGATTGAGGTGCCTTCTAAAAAAGAGTCTGTGAGGTTATTCTTAATGAATCTCCAAGAAAAGTATTCCAAACATCTCAGGTACCAAAGCAACTTGAATACCATCAAGGACGTTTATGACATTGGAATCAATCTTGAAGATGACCTTGCAAAGCAAAAAAGCTGCTAACAATAACTCTAAAAGTGGTTGGAAAGGAAATAAGAGTGACAATCCTTCTTCTTCTAAAACCACCCACTCAAACAATGTAAGCACCTTTAATCTGAATGAAGTCCTTGGCATGAATAATCAAGGACAAAATAAACCATTTAGGAGAACCTTTACTCCTATTGGTATGTGTTATGACAGCGCATTTGACCGTCTTCATGCAAAAAGTCTTATAACTCCTATTGAACCATTTGGAGATCCACCCGTAGAAAGGAGAACGACTAATTGGAATCCCAATGCACACTGCAAATACCATCATGTTAGGGGCCATCTTACTGAGAATTTCTGGAAGCTAAAGGAAGCTATCCAAGACTTAATCGATAAAAATAAACTCCCAGTGCCTCTTGCAAGTCAGAAGCCAAGTATCAACAGTGCGTCACTTTCTAACTCCTTGGCTATTTCTAATGAGGAAAACCATGTCGACCCATCATCTCTAATCAAACCAGTTGAAGAAATTCATGCCATTGAAGAAGAAGAGGACATATTTTTTGATGCCGTGAGTGATTGGGCCCTAGGTCAACAACTTGCCCCTAAAGAAAACGTTTTGATCATCATAAATACAATGAGGAAAACAATAGACATGTGTAGAGAAGTTCTTGAATGCACAAAGTTAGAACTAGAACAAAGTAAGCATGTTAATAAAGAGATGACACTTATAGAGACTACTAAGAGGAAGCCATTTTCTCTCCAAGTAGTCAAAACACCAAAAAGGAGCAATAAATCCTATACTCCAATTGGGACCACATATGCAAATATGTTCAAAATGCTCTTCGAGAGTGGCAAGATCAAACCTCTATAACCATGACCATTTTAATCACTAAAGAGGACAAAAAGATTTTATGTCCTTATCATAAATTAGGAGGACATACTATAAAACATTGTTTTAAATTCAAGGATTTAATTCAAAAACTGATTGATAATAAAAAGTTGGTCTAAATTCCACAAGAGAAAGATGCTACCATCAATGGAGTTTGGGAAGGTGATGATGAGGACGTTTGCCTCAAGGATATTGAGGAAACCCCACTCTCAACAATATATCCAGTGGAGGATACTTGGGATGAATAAGATTCACCCATAGACTTTCTCACAATATCTGGGAGAATGCAACCTCCCATTACCGCACAACAACCTACTCCTACTACTCAATAAGTTACCATACCTATCATAGAAGACAACGATGTTGTCAAACAACTCAAAATGATTATGGTCGGGATCAATGTATGGAAACTATTAGCCATATCCCATCAACATAAGGTAGAAGTAATGGATGCCCTAGCTAAGATAGGAAAAGATTCTGAAACCACTTCTAAGGGGTTGGCTAACTTTCTGACGAGTAATCTTCCTAGTCCCATCAACTTGATCACCTTTTCTGACAAGGATCTACCTTCGGAAGGTGACAAACACAACAAAGCCTTAAATCTCACAGTAATCTGCAAGACGATGAATGTCCCAATGACTCTGGTAGATAATGGATCAGCAATTAATGTTTGTTAACTTCGAACTGTGAGAATATTAGGAATAAGGGATGAAGACTTGTCTTCATCTACACAGGGAATAAGAGCTTATGACAACACTTGCCTCCAAGCCCTCGGAACAATAACCATGAATGTAACGGCAGCAGTCAAGGAACATGCTACTACTTTTCAAGTGGTAGATATTAAAGCATCTTTCAACTTATTGTTGGGACACCCTTAGGTTCATGACCTTAAGGAAATACCTTCATCAACAGGTGAAGATATAGTTGGAGGGATCCCTATTCCAATTGATGCTTCTCCAATGAGAATTAAGGCCATCGAAAATCCAATCATAAATGTGTAGCACAATGAAAATGATGAA